GTCTTTTGAAGAAGACCAACTTTCCAGGTTTCTATTTCTTAAAAGTCTGTAGGCCCGGCTTTCTGCGATTGCACAACTGCAGGCAACTTGACGGCAAGTTTTGAATCTCGATAGCCCTCTTTTCAGAGCTATAATTTTCGCAGGGATGTCGTGTTTGGCTCCAAACTTTCAATAGCAAGAAGAGACTCTGCGCTCAATACTCATACTAAAAAAGGGGCGCTTTTTGAATATTGAAGGCAAGTTAATGGGGTCAGGCGCAATCCCTCAAAAGCTCAGACCGCCTGAGCTTTTGAGGGATTGCGCCTGACCCCATTAACTTTATTTCCGAAGAAGCTTCTCTACCCAAGTTTTATGTGGTTCGCTAGCTCAACCCTCGAAGATTCAAAGGTAAGTGTTCGAGCTTGAGTCGACTTGTTTCGGCCTTGTGCTAATCCGAGGAGTTGAAGCACTCAATGTGAAAAATGTGCCGGTTGGAATTTTAGCAGCACTTCTTACTTCACTGTTTGAAAGCGATATGAAGCCTGATTTGGAGCATAGATCTGTAGTGAACATTACTTTGTTGTGAGTATAGAAAAGCTTACATTTTTCACTTTTGAATCCATGTTTATCATATTTGAAAATCGTTTTTTGGACGTTAAGAAATACTAGAAAATGCAGAGGCAATGGTTTGTAGAGCGCATAGAGGTAATTTGACATGCTGATTAGGGAAAGGATTCAGCATTTCACACAGCAAGCTTCCTTGTCGACCTTATGATCTGTAAAGCAAAATATGAAGATTAAATTTTGGCTAACTTTGACTGCGGAAACAATGAGTATGCCGTTAACGACCCTCATTCCTTCAGGTGATTGCAATCCACCGAACTCGCGCATTTCTTCTTCACCTTCGTAGTGCCTCCCGAACTAAAAAATTTCGTATTGTGTGTTCTTCTTGTGCCTTACAGGTTGGTAGGTGGTCCTTTATTAGTCAGTATCAACGGCCTTACGTTTCAACGCTTTCGTCTTCGTCAGAGGCCTAGAATGGTTCTGAGTTTCATCAGTGAGTCCAGCCCACCAAATGTCTCCCCTAGTTCTGCCAGTTTTCGGCCTTCACCTAATCTAGTTGCCACAAAAATTGCGAAAACAATGACATACCAGGGAACCACCGCTTCGTCATCAGATGTCCGTACCGGAAGGAGACGGTCGCGACGGACGAATGAGTTATACTGTTTTGGATGGTGAATGATCTACAGTCATAACTCGCATAATGATATAAACGGGAGAAAGTCAGCGGTTATTGATAGACATTCGTTTTTGCTGTTCATTTCTGGATTCTTCGCAGAAATCCAGAAGGCTTCCATAGCTTTCCTAGCTGAGATCTCCTCTTCAAATGTTAGAATCGTGACTTTAATGTCAAAATCTTCATCACCATGCGCCTCGTGCCTATGTCTGCCAAGCGTTGAAGCCATGTTCTTTCGCCTTTTATCTGCAAGATGTTCTTTTACGCGAATGCTAAGCATTCTTCCTGTTTCCCCAATGTAACGTGCATTGCAGCTCAAACACTCGAGTTGATACACAACTCCCATCTTTGCGCAGTCTCCCAGTCTCCCGTGCGGACAAACAACGCATTGCTCAGATATACAGTAACGATCGTAGAGCCGATTTCGCACCAGCTGTTTTTTGATGTTGTCGTTTGGGATGTTGACTAACATAACATCATCTTGCAGCTGTGCACGAATTATGCATTTTTGAATGGCCGCGCTGATCTTATCGGAGATGAATGGCAGGCAAAGTGGAAGTCTGTTTTCAACTCGGTGCTCACCACTTTTTAGATGTCGAATATGTGGTGAGGGATGGTAGCCATTGCTGCAAGCAATTTGGGCAGCCAGCTTTCGTGATTCGCGCCGTTCATCCTCTCCGCTGCATGTCTGCATTGCCGTTCTGAACATATTCCTAAGGACAGCACGTTTGACAGATGCAGGGTGTGCGGACTTGACGTTAATGAGGATGTTTTTGGAGCTTTCCTTGCGGTACCACTTGGTGCTTACAATGCCATCGGTCAACTTTATCTGCGCGTTCAGATAAGGCAGCCATCCGTCGTGTGGTGTCTCACGCGTGAACCTGATGTATCGTGATTGCTGATTCAAAATCTCGTAACACTTGTCCATTTCAGACTGTGTGGATGTCACAACACAGCAATCATCGATGTAACGACAATACAGCAGTGGCATTCGCGCTAACACCGGCTCTTCGATCTTACTCATAAAGCATATGGCAAGAACTGGTGCTAGTCTTTGGCCCATAGCTAACCCACGTATCTGGGAATAATAAGTCCCAGACCATCTGAAGATGTTACAGTTTAGACACTCGCTTACTAGGGCCATCGCGTTTGCCTTGCTGAGTCCAAACATATTAATCGTGCCAGCATACTCATCCAACATCTCCGATAGCGCTTGCAAAGCTTGGTCGTTCTGCACATTAGTGTAAAGAGACGTTACGTCGAACGACTCTATCACTGCGCTCGAATCAAACTTAGCATTGCGGAGCTGTTCGATAAACGTACGGGAGTTGGTCAAATGCGCTGGTACTTTCGTTAACAGTTGGCTCACAATTTTGTTCAGATACCACGATATTCGATCAGCGGGACCGCCCACGCAACTAACAATCGGCCTAATCTTATAAGTCTCCGGTGACATTGAATGTTGTTGTTGTTGTTGTGTTGTGACATTGAATGTTGTTTGAGCTGCAATGCACGTTACATTGGGGAAACAGGAAGAATGCTTAGCATTCGCGTAAAAGAACATCTTGCAGATAAAAGGCGAAAGAACATGGCTTCAACGCTTGGCAGACATAGGCACGAGGCGCATGGTGATGAAGATTTTGACATTAAAGTCACGATTCTAACATTTGAAGAGGAGATCTCAGCTAGGAAAGCTATGGAAGCCTTCTGGATTTCTGCGAAGAATCCAGAAATGAACAGCAAAAACGAATGTCTATCAATAACCGCTGACTTTCTCCCGTTTATATCATTATGCGAGTTATGACTGTAGATCATTCACCATCCAAAACAGTATAACTCATTCGTCCGTCGCGACCGTCTCCTTCCGGTACGGACATCTGATGACGAAGCGGTGGTTCCCTGGTATGTCATTGTTTTCGCAATTTTTGTGGCAACTAGATTAGGTGAAGGCCGAAAACTGGCAGAACTAGGGGAGACATTTGGTGGGCTGGACTCACTGATGAAACTCAGAACCATTCTAGGCCTCTGACGAAGACGAAAGCGTTGAAACGTAAGGCCGTTGATACTGACTAATAAAGGACCACCTACCAACCTGTAAGGCACAAGAAGAACACACAATACATACGAAGAATGCCCAGGTTCAAAACAGACGGAACTTGGAAACTAAAAAATTTCGATTCTTAATTAGGACCCCTCCCTCAGTCTTATCTTCGATACGACCCTCCAGGTCGGGCGCGCCTGACCCCACTCTCAGCCCTGAATATGACACTTGAGCGTGCATTCCGCAAAAAACACCTTTTTGGGGCTATTTCGGGAAAACCCATATAAGTGCTTTAGATGCTATCCTTGTCGAAAGCAAGCATTAATAGTAAACGCTATGTGTTTGACTATGTTTGCAGTGTGAAAACACGTCAAGGGCTAAGGAGGTTTCGTACAAAGGGGTTGGCCGTACGAGGAACTGAGCGTGGTCCTCAACGTCGGGGCCGGTAGTAATGTATTTACCTGGTGGCAAGTTGCCACACATCGCGGGAAGTTGCCAACTTCGTCGGCGGCTCGCGGGTTGATCGTAGGTTCCATTAATCTTGTACAATCTTACCCGACAATCGCTATGCACACGAAATTTTGATGACACAGTTAGCCGCAAAACAGTGGTATCGCGCGCGTTCGAACCAGCAAACTTACCACTCTGCTCTAACCATTCGACCATTCGGTCAATAATTTTTGTTTGCACCAGCGCTAGCAGAAACGCACAGATTTGTGGCCGCCTGTCGAAGGACATGATCAATACATTGCGCGAGAGACTTTGACCTGAAAGAACAGCTGATTGATATGAACAACAAATACGCGAAAACGTTTCAGACAAGATATAGGAACTACAGTAAGAGCAACGCGATGCTTACTTGTGTCTAACTAGAAACTGACTTCTCTTTCTTTCATATGATCAGTTCAATCAAGAAAAAGCTAAACAATGACAAAAATGATGATTTTTCAAAGAAGTAGAATTTTGGTATCGCTGGCTGAGGCGTAGATTGTGTGGTATCGCCGCAGTTCCCAAACTCACAGACGCCGTCGGCAAAGTGCCAGCACCTCAACATGGTAGGGGCACGTAGAGATGCCGGCAGCTTCCTCTCTCAAAAGAGAGCGCTATTTCCCGTGCTTTCTGACCTGCCGACAGCTGGCACCTTGCACTTCAAGAGCCTCCTCCGCTTCCAGATATCTCTACAGGACGATTTCTGGAGTCGCAAATATTGATGCAGGTTTCTATAGGGTCGAGGTGGCACCTTCATCGCGAAAACTTTTTTTGCAAAAATGCCTGAGACGACTTAAATTTGGGGTTTAAGTTTCTGGCCACCTTAAGAAAAGGTGCCGGCGTCCTGGCGACAACGACCTGCTGCCAGATCGGGAAAATTGCTACCGTCCCGGATGTCTGCCTAGACGCTGCCTTTAAGGGAATCCTCTGTCCGTCCATTCATGTTCAGCATAAGTCGTTGCACGTCTCTCTAAAGCAGCTTATTCCAGGGCTCCCCCATAAACTCGAGCAAGGACATTTAACTAACTCGTATGCAGATGCTCGCCCGTAAGTGGATCCAGTGTTGAATTTCAAATTTTCCTTCATTGAAGTTTTTGAATCATGACCTCGGTTATGAGGTTTGCGTGCACAAACAGACATGCATGCAAGACCTTTATAGGTAGGGAAGAGAGAGAAAAAGAAAGGTAGAGAAAAGTTGGATTTGCTAATCGTTATCGCCTCTTTGGGAGCGGTCCGATAGCTACTCCATCTCGTATGCCACAAACGCCGCGTAAAGTTTCGGAAAATATTATGTACCACAACCTTGCCCCATCGTCTATGTAAGGTTAAAACCTGCAATAGGATTTTCAAAATTTGCTGAACAATCAGATTATCGTTTGATTTTATTTAGTCAATTTAGTTTGAAAATCGAGCAAAATAGTCCAAGAGTTCCTCCTAAGCGACTGCACGCTGCAACAAGAACGTATTCAACTAAAGTAAATCATTCAAAAAAGAGCATACCATTTATCAGTTTTATGTAATTTTAAGGTCTTGACCGAGGATACTATGAATCCAAACATGGTCACTTTGCAGTACGCAGTCACTGGACCAATAGTGGTTAGAGCAATAGAGATAGAGAAAGAACTTGCCAAGGTATTCTTACAAAATTTCCACTAACAACTCGTGCTAATCATCCTTGAAAACAGGGTGTCAGCAAACCTTTCAAAAATGTGATTAGAGTAAATCTTGGCGATGCTCAGGCCATGGGACAAAAACCAATTACGTTTGTTAGACAGGTTCCCAACTTCAAACAAAAATTCCTCTTGCTGCTAGCAACATTTACCTTGTCTTTATCTAATCTAGGTGCTCTCATGTGTATCAAATCCCTCGTTGATGGAGACGGGAATGTTCCCAAAGGACGTGATTGAACATTCAAAGGTATGTTTGAAGGGGTTCCGGGACTACATTTTCACACAAAACCGTAGCCGCGCGCAACCCGCTTTGCGGCGCCTAGAAAGCGGCTAACTAGACGGGAAAGGAAAAATTTGCCGCGCGCGACCTGCTGTGGAAGTCAGGCAGTTTAGTAGTTGAATATGAACACTCCCATAATGGAGCATTATCAGACAGGAAAATCTATAAGCAGGAAAGAGGAATCCCACAAGGGGCATCATGTAGTCCACAAATGGCAGACTTAACTTTAGCCTATATGGAATATGAGTATGTTAGAAGGATGGTAGCCAATAGGAATTCGGAAGAGTTATATAGATTCAACAACACCTACAGATACATTGACGATGTGTTACACATTTCGGAAGAACCTATTATATTCGAACAGTCATTACAAGAAATATATCATAATGAACTTATCATAGAAAAAACTAACACAAATGATGCCGAAACCAACTTTTTGGATTTGAACGTACAAGTAATAGATAACAATATATCATTTAGTTTGTATAACAACACAGATGCGTACAACTTTGAAGTGTTGAGGTACCCGGTCTGGCAATCCAATGTCCCAAGATATATCATCACTAACACTTTCAAAACTGAAACACTCAGAATTTACGGAAACTGTTCGGATTACATAATTTTCAAAGACAGGCTACTGCAATTATGCAAACTTTGTAAGAGAAATGGTTGGGAAAGAAGAATATTAATTAGAATATTATGTAATACTTTAAGAGACAATCCTTGCATACTGCGCAAATATGGTTTTGATGTAGCCCTTCATATACCATTAGTCCACGAAATAGGGGAACTCTGGATAGATTCCGGTTAATAGGAACAATATATGACACAATACAAGGTCAACAATCGTGTTGCTTGCGAACGTAGGAGTCCAACATAATATTGCAATCAAACTGTATATTAAGTAAGCACCAACTTTCAAATTATTGACAACTCATGATAGTATAATTTTCTATAAAACTAAACCATGACTCCACATTTAGTTAACCTTTGCTTTCCATCCAAAACGATTACTTGACATTTGTCCACCTCGTGCCGGACCCCGGTCTAGAGGAATGAATGTTCGGATATTAACATCAGAGCACTTCAGTCAAAGAGTACTTTCTGTCTAATACCCTCATACTCAACATTGCTTTATTTGAGCGCAGAAAGGATCGTAGCTTTCAGATAGATTCTGCACTCCTTTTCTGTTCCAAAAACACTGATATTTTGGCGTTCAGGAACGCTTGGCAGATGACAAACACAGTTTTGATATCAGTCTTCAATGTTCCTTAAAGTGGCATAAACTTATTTGAAAAGGCCACTTTGAATAGAACTTTGATTAAAAAAGGCTGTGTTTCTTTTTAGATGGAATCCAGTTACGTCGATACACAAGTGGTCATTGAACGTGAAGCTTAATGAAGAAGCTTCTGCTAAATTTCAATTACAAATTTCACAAGTTTGTTCTTGAAGAACCGGTGACCGTAGTGGCTCCTTATCTCAAGCGGCCTCTCAATTAAAGATTCTATTACCGCTACAAGATACGAGTCCAAAGTCCCAATAGTCAAAAATGGTAACTATGTTACAGTAAAGATTTCTTTGCGATAGGGAGAAGGAGAGGGAAGAGAAAAAGAGAAAATTTTGTGAATGCAAAAGAGCGACCTTAGCACATCAAAGAATTTTTCAAGAAGCATTTCAAAGCTGATTCAAATTCTTACAAACTTTGAAAATTTCGATAGAAACAGGTCACTTGCACTCTTTTTGCATCCACGTAGACTGTTAGTATTTTCGCTAACTATTCTCGAGGAGGGCAGGCCCCATAGTGATCAAAACGGAGATATACTTTTTAGTTTCTGCGATGGGACTACTTTTCTGCATAAGAAAGTTCACTACACATGAGGGTTTGTGTTACTGAAAGTGTTGAAAGATTGCACGCATTCAGAACTTTGCCCAAAAGGTTTATTGATGAGATTGTATCAAATTGACTTTGATGCTAACAAGGAAGCCTTTTTTAATCAAATAAGTTTATGCCACTTTAAGGAACATTGAAGACTGATATCAAAACTGTGTTTGTCATCTGCCAAGCGTTCCTGAACGCCAAAATATCAGTGTTTTTGGAACAGAAAACGAGTGCAGAATCTATCTGAAAGCTACGATCCTTTCTGCGCTCAAATAAAGCAATGTTGAGTATGAGGGTATTAGACAGAAAGTACTCTTTGACTGAAGTGCTCTGATGTTAATACCCGAACATTCATTCCTCTAGACCGGGGCCCGGCACGAGGTGGACAAATGTCAAGTAATCGTTTTGGATGGAAAGCAAAGGGGATATCGTAAATATACATTCACACGTACACACACTCTCTCGATGCATTCACATGTACACAAACTCTCTCTACAAGTTGCTACACGACTGACATGCAAAACACGATCTTGCTCGCGCTCATCTTCAAAAATCTAATTTTTTAAATTGAGTCTCAGTTAAATGTCTTGATCACATAACGATATGACTAAATTTGGAGGATAGACGGACATGGAACAATGAACATAGAGCAGGGAGTTGTGAAAAAATTATGTGACTAAAGTTTTTGGCAAGCTTTTTCCTGAAAATTCTCACTCTACCGCAAAACGATAGAATGGTTCGTTTGCAACGCACAGATCACGATATGACACGAAACATACCTTCGATAGTCAAGAGACAGAGCCTAGAAAGTGATAGTTGTCTGAGTTCCTTCCTCTATAAAAAGTGAAGGGTGTTTCAGAAAAATATATGGAAATTTAGAGATATGAATTAAGCCAGGAAACTTGAAAAATTCATATAAAGCAGTGCTTAGCACATCACCAAATTTGAAACCTTAAAGGCAGTGGCTCGGCAAATCTCCACCTAGACAAATCGTTTACCTGGGGTTATTCAATACGCTGATCACGCAAATCCACTTTAGAGAGCTCGAAAACGGCGAAAACGAGCTTTCTGCAACCCCCTTCCCTTCAAATTGGACGAATGGAGCAAGGCTGATGACGCTGAATCGTTGCGGGACCCAATGGTTATAGCATTGCGGCGGGTAGCCTCCAATGGCGAGAAGGAAGTTGTCAACTCGTCCGGGTGCGTGTAAGATTGGCTTGCGCGTGTAAATTTGAGAGCGATTTTCTCAGGGAAGGCATGCTTGCAACCGGGATCGCATGTTTTTATACTTGGACGATAACGAACCTACTGCGTTAAGATTGTGGGCTGTCAAGTTTTGCCGATCCACTGCCTTCGACTTGCTGGTTTCTTAGGCACAGTTTCCTCTTCAGGATTGCCGATTAAATTGCGTGACAACAAACAAAGTTCTTCTCCAATTAAAAAAAGCGCTGTTTAGCTGTGGTGGTAGTTGGGAGACCGAAAGAAAAAAAACTTGTCAACAACTGAATTGAACATGTTGAACACGTCAGAAAAGATATGTTGCACATAGACGCCAACCTGATTTTTGATGCGTCCTTTGAATTTTTACCCCCGCATAGTCTTTTCGTATACGCGACGTTGTCTGGATTCTTTCGCTCATCATTCTGAGTAAGTATCGTCCAAGCTGGAGAAAATTCGTTGCGAAAGCACTGAAAGAGAACAAGGTAAAGAAAAACGCAATTTTTAGTAATTTTTTACAAAAAAAACCGGCATAAGCAAAGAAGTAAGCTCGGCAACGTTGTCTACATCATAGACAGAAAGAAGATTTATCGAATACACAGAAAAACCGAGTGAAAGGAGTTAACTTGAAGAAAAGACAAGAGGTTTTTGAAAATACCGTTTTTTCCAGATTTCTCATTCAAATCATAAAAAGGAGTCTTGCGACATTGTTAGCCTAAAAATAGAGATCAAGTGCTTTAATATGATATGTAGAATGTCGTTATTGGGCTCCGAACAACGAAGAAAAGGGTACCAGAGCCAAATGCCCCGCGCCCCGCATTTAAGGTAGCGAGGTAGCGCGCAACGCGCGGAGACGCGGACGAGCAGCGGAGACAGACCAGAGCCAACAGGGCATTTGGCTCCGTACATTGATCTCCGCGGGGTCTAAACGAAACCCCATAACATTGTACAGGGTGTCCCAAGAAATGTGCCTACTGTTTGATTGTTGATAACTCTCTTGTAATGAAGTCTTTCAAGAAGCTTTGAGTACCGTTTTGTAGAGCTGGCTTTAACTTAGATTTGAAGTATAGAGCGAATCACCGACCGCTCTTCCTTACTGTAAAATTACGGTAGGAATTTCCAGTATATGGTGTCATTATCAAAAAAGCTGCCGTTTCAAAAATTTTCAAAAAAAATGTGCAAACTTGTGTAATAGGGTTTTCGTGGACTCTGAGTTCAGTATGAAGTCCACCGAAAACCTTAAGGTACCTTTCTGTAGAGCTAACTTGAGCTTAGATTTACAGTATTAGACGCATCGTCCATCTTGCTTAATTACTGTAGGATTACCGTAGAAACTTCCAAGAATGTTTTAAGCCATAAAAGACCATATTTTGTCTCAGAATGGGAACAGAACAGCCTGGAACCTTTTATACTGCGCTAATTAGAGTTGCTGATTCTTGGCTTGCAACTTATCAGGATGCTTCATTAAAAAGTTACGCGAGGTAAGCAGTAGCGGGCGTTTTTTGAATGTTTCTAAAAAGTGCGGTTACACCATTTAGAAAGCTTCGTAATTTCATACATAGTTGTGTACTGAACTCAGAGTCCATGAAAACCTTATTACACAAGTTTGCACTTTTTTTTTGAAATTTTTGAAACGGCAGCTTTTTTGATAATGACACCATATACTGGAAGTTTCTACCGTAATCATACGATAAGGAAGAGCGGTCGGTGATTCGCTCTATACTTCAAGTCTAAGTTAAAGCCAGCTCTACGAAACGGTTCTCAAAGCTTCTTGAAAGACTTCATTACAAGAGAGTTATCAACAATCAAACAGTAGGCACATTTCTTGGGACACCCTGTACAATGTTATGGGGTTTCGTTTAGACCCCGC